TATACGAAGATCTACTCTTTTTATTAAAAAAAAAATATTATGTATTACCTTTGTTAAAGGTCTAATTTTGAAATATTTAAGAAAAAAACCCTCTATAAATCAATATTGAACTTTTGCTATACAATTTTTTGCAATTTTTGAAAAAGGTAGGGACCGAAACGGGACCACACATTTTTCTTTTCTTTGTACACAAGAGGAAATATTTAAATCGAAACATTTTGGAGTAGTTTTGAAGAAAATAATTGCTTAAAATGCCCATTTTTCACACAATATTAACTGTAGTTACTCATATTTTCGACAAATATTTATGTTATTTATTTATTTAATTGACATTATTTCAAAATTTATTTTGTCAACAGATTTCATTAAGAAGCAATCTCCCCTTTTCAAATTGTTATTGGCAAGATTCTGTTTTATCAACTTGCCGCGTTTTTCGAAAATATAAAAAAAGATTTTAATAAAAATGAGTTATGTAAAAAAATTTTTAAGCGTCCTTAGGCTCCCAAACGGACACAGTTAGAAGAAAATGTAGATTTACCTTTTTGAGTAGCTTTGAAAAATGTTAAGTCTTCTTGTGAAGTAGCCCCAAATTCAAATTATCTTTTTGAATTAACCGGACCCGAGATCGATCGCAATATCATATTTTTGGAGTCGTCTGAACGTTTTATCGCTAGCATATTATGACCGTATAATCGCACGGCGGGCGCGAAAGTCGAGATGGATGCGACGATATGCATAGAGCGGACAGACAGACAGACAGACAGACGGAGGACGGACAGATCAGACAGACAGACAGACAGACGAGGGACGAGACGACGGAACAAATAGACAGACGAAGGACAGACAACGGAGACGCACAAACAGACGACAGTACGGACAACCAGACAACGACGACAAACAGCCGAACGGACGAACAAACAGGCCGACGGACGGACAAACAGCCGAACGACGACAAACAGCCGAACGGACGGACAAAACAGCCGAACGACGGACAAACAGCCGAACGACGACAAAAACAGGCCGAACGGACGGACAACAGCAGAACGCGACGGACAAACAGCGAACGGACGGACAAACAGCCGGACGGACGGACAAACAGACGAACAAAGGGGACCCTTTGCCGTTAATCGAGTTTACTGTCTTACATACCGATAACACATTATTCTAGTGCCAGAATAGTAGGGAAATAATTCACTCATAGAAAGATTTATTCCGTTTCACCGTAATAACATCTGTTAATTCTCGACAAAATTGGCGATTCCCGCTAGCACCTGTTAAAGTCCTTTCTCTTTACTACGAAACTACGTAGAAGGCGAAGAATGTGAAGATAGTACAATAACGAAAAAGGGCGTTCCCACGTGAAGTTGATATCCACTGGAGCGTCGACCCGGTTTTGTGATTTTGTGTAGCAGAGCCGCACCTCCTTTATTGTTATTAATTTTTTGGGGGGGGGGGCGCGGTTGCGCCTACCCCGATCTCCGCCGTCATCAGGATTAGACTGTAAGCCTGTTCGCGAACTGACGATCTCCTGTGTCAACCACTAATTAAATTCTGTTAAGGCATTATTCCT